TTTTATGTGAAGATAGGTTAGGTTATAGGATAATTTGAATTAGCTTATGAATAGTATTTATCTCAAGTAGGAAGAAATGTTTAGGTTAAGTTCGTTTATTTAAAAAGAAGTTAGGTTATAGTGCATTTCCACTGATGTCATGAAATATTGATATGACAGATTCAAATTTAGGTTAGGTTATTTTATGTGAAGATAGGTTAGGTTATAGGATAGTTTGAATTAGCTTATGAATAGTATTTATCTCAAGAAGGAAGAAAATTTTAGGTTAGGTTCGTTTATTTAAAAAGAAGTTAGGTTATAGTATATTTCCACTAGTAGTATTTCAGTTGAAGACTTTTTCTAAATGTTTTAACTTTTTAATGATTTTCATGAAAAAAATACTGAATTTTTAGGTTAGGTTAGATTTGAACTATATACAAATTCTTGCAACTATTTAAAATACTCTATATATTGAATGCGTGAGAATGCAGACTTACATAAACACGAATTCGCTAATGACCAATGTGGAAAGTGTGTAAAATGTTTGCGAGTAATTTGCGTTGTAATTGAAGGGCATTATTCCAGCATTTAATTGCGTTTTGTTCGAATACGTACAATATTAGGTAACTTGGGAAACTGGAGTGTGTGCGGAACTTCGTGCAAAACTATTAAATTTGAAAGTGGCTTCGTTACGAAACGGCCGCATTAATTATTTGATATTATACCAAAGCCCAAAATCCAAACAATTATGCAATATAAATGCAACATATTATATACACAATTTTATGGAATTTGTTGATTCTAATTCCTAGAAAGTTTTGTGTGTTTTCAATAACGAGTATTACGTAATTTAATTGTGGAACGAGAGCGTACGAGTAATAACTCTGAAGTTTTCGGATCGCCGGAGAGAACTATTTGTTTAATTACGGTACGTGTTTTTTCTCTTGTTCTTCCTCTTTTCTTTTCTTTGTTCGCCTCTCAACATCTTCTTCCACGGTGTAATGGTTTCGTGCAGCTTTTCCGCTTGATCGCGTGTTTCCACTAGAATTCATTTCCTGCGCCAAAGTCTCGTGTTGTCGGCCAATAATTCCAAATGGAGAAGCAGAGAACTGCTGCTGTTGCGGCTCCCCAACTGCAATTTACAGCCTACTTCGTTCATCAATAGAGTATTAGTTGGTAGCCGCGTTATTTTCAATTATTGACGACCCACGGCTTCTATTATCGTAGTTAATTCATCAGGTGTGCATTATTGCCTTTCTGCAATGTAATATTTTATCATCCAATCGATTTTCTTAAACTTTACTTAAAAAATTGGTTAATACTAATCATCTAACTTATCAAATCAACTATAAATAACTTATTTTAATACAGTCATTCCTTAAATTAACATTGAAGATATTAGATTTCCAGTGGAAAATTTCATTCTACCAAAAAAAATAATTGACAAACAAAGATTTGAAAATGTGCTTGAAAGATATTGAAAATGATCCTGATTTAGAACACTTTTTGTTACATAAGTTGACTGTTTTGATAATAATTTTTTTCTCTATTTCATTATAGCCAAAATATTTGATTACTTCTGATAATAATATAATAATTTCGTTAATTGCATCATATTCCTTAATATAAGGTATGATAACTACGCAAATACTCAATCAAATCAGTATTCAAACAATTTCATAACAGATTCTACTATTACTACTTCTGTTTTGTACTACGAAATGTAATAAAATAAGAAAAGGTTACCTGATTATGCAATACATTATAAAACAGCGTCTGAGACTGCTTTTTCGGTAAGATTAATCGCTCTGGCGGCGGTTTCGTCTCACCATCCTTGAAGCCTTCCTTCCTCTCTTTTGCGTTTTGAACCATTTTTGGCTACATATAATCATAACTGTGAGTGTCTCCTCTCCGGGTTTAGAAAGTTATTTTTTTTTCAACACATTAGATGACTCCAAATATGATCAAGTAAATACAAAAAAATATGGGTCATGGGTCTGCATAGATTTTCAGACACATCTGCCAATAAAATTCGATTGTTTTGCTCAAGTTTGGCATATTAGAATTGTTAATTTTGGAAATTTGTTCGTGTTCAGGTTTTGAATAACGTTTTGTTTCTTGCATTTTCTTTTGGTGAAATATGAATTGCAAATTGCATTCTTGAACATCTGCATTAAGGATTGAGATTTTAGATAGTTATTAAACGTTTAAATGTAATTTAAAAAAAAAAACTTTAATTTTTCAATCACAGCAATTATCAATCAAGTACAATAATTTGAAGGCAAGAAATGAAATACGTTACATTCTTGAGAGAATACGAAAATAATTTCAATTACACAAAATCGAATATTTTATCCAATCTTTTGATATGAAATATATTACATTTTCTTTGTTAAACGATCTGCGAAAAAAGGTATAAAAAAAAATAATGGTTACATCATTTTTCTCTCTATACTTTTCGTGCTCGATACGGTGCACTTAATGGTACGTACGTATAGCTGGAAGGTTCGCTTCTCCTCACGTGCATCCATCCCATATATAGTTTATACACCGAAAAGTGTGTATAAAATTTCCATCGAACGACGATTTTCACGTTTCATCGGTAATGCAATACCACCATATTCCAGCTGAACGCGGAAATTCACGTATCGAAAGAAGTATTCGCACTTCATCCTTAATAAAGCAATTGTCCTCGCCTCCAACCCCGAGTTGCGAAAGCTTATGCACGCTCGTAAAGATTCCGATTTCAAAGAAGAAAAATATTTTCGAGAGATGTAAAATAAAATTTCCGCGAGAAGTTTTCACAAACATATTCGTTTTGAGTAAGATGCCGACAAATACAGCTAATGACTTCCCATTTTCCAGCTGGAATTGCTTCACTTATCTCGAATCTCCGCGCGCATTCAGCTATCATAATTCACCGGCTAATTTCGAGTTACTGCGACCTCCTGTTCTCTCTCAGTTTTTCGCATGGAATGAAGAAAAGAACGGGTAAAAAACGAGCTTCTAAATTGGATTGAACCGACTTAGCTCTGATGTCTTGTATCGATAAAACTCGTGCAATCCGTTGTCAAATGGGAGGAAAACTGCAATTGCGTAAACTCAATTTCTTTTAACTCGCGCGCTATTCCTTTCGTTATTACCAAAAAACGAGATTATCTTTGTTAAATTAGTAAAACTATGTTTACTGCTACTTGTGAAACTCCAATTGAAAAGTATTTGACTGGAATTGGTAATGGTAACAATTGTTTTTGATGCATGCGTCTGTAATGCCATCGTTCTAATACAATACGCATAACTGTTAAGTTTATTCTGAACGTGTTGCCAACATCATTTAAATAAACAAAAGTGATGATGGGTGGTGATTTTTTTTCTTTTTGGAAATTTCAATGGGGGAATTTCGTGAATACGTGCGTTGTTTGTGGCACGAGCGCGTGTAAAGAAAACAAAAAAGTCCGGATCTCAGTTGACATTGAAACGAATTAGCGGAACCGGAAACGAAAGAGAAATCCGTCGAAGAATCGGAAGAGTTATATATATATATATTTATCAAACAGTGTCTGTAATTTTCTTTTCGTTTTCTTTTTCAGCCCTTGCACGATAGCAACCGCCGGAGGTCGCCGGTAGATGGAGTCGCTCGTCGGGTCAAGGCCACGTCTACGCCTCTCCTATTGGATCCGGCAGCAGCCGAAAACAGGTCAGTCCGTGGTGCATCAATAATGCATTATTGTGTTATATATATATAAATGCAAATGGTGCGCGCATCACCGTTTCTTGTGCACGTACACGCGATGTTTGCTGCACGCGATACTGGAGGCACGTCCCTTTGGTTGCCTAATTAATCAGAATAATCCATCTCGTTCCCATTAGATTTGGCTTTGATCCAATTGTTTACTTGTCGTATAACTCAGCTACAGCTATTGCATCATCACTGCAAATGACTTGTACAAGTACTTAATAACTTGAGTCAATGATACTGTACACAAATTTGGTGGAAACTCAGTTTTCGAACATTTTTCAAATAATTCAGTTCCCGAACAAACATTTCCAATACCACATAAGGCGATTTTTTCAATAATCCCCTAATTTTTATTACTTCCTCATGTAAATGTTTGATGTATCAAAAATTATGAAAAGTAAATTTCATTTTCATTTATTAACATAATAGTTTTCATATTTTTACTATAATATGAAGATTACTAACTTTATACAGTTTCATACCTAGCATAAGCTAAGTTTCCCTTATAAAGGCTAGGGCGGATATATCCGCCGCAGATGGTTAAATTACATTTATTTAAATTTTAACTTAAAGAATGTGTGCTTTTCAGGAAATGGAAGATCGAGGGCAACGAGAATCAAAACGCTTCGAAGGAAAATCGAAAAAGCATCGCAGGTACGTGTTCATCTTTCTTTTAAATTCTCCCGCGTTTTACTTGAGCGTAGATTTATGCAAGATGATGCTAATTAGGTGGGGAAGAAAATGATGTGGAAAGTTACCGTCTTCACCATCATCATCATCAATCAGACTCAACTCGTATATATATATATATATTTTTTTTAATATTTTAGTCTTGGAAGTAATTACGTTGTGCTTTAATTGAAACATATCGATAACATTACATCATTACTTCTCGTTAGCTTAAAAGCCTGTCAGAAGACGATTATTGGTCGTACCGGGTGTAATTTATAAATAAATAATAACCGACTGAATCACTCTTGATACCAAAGATTAAGTAATAAGCCGAAATGAAACTTTTTTTAAGAATTTTTTTAAGAATTTTTCCTTATTTTTAACAATAATTAATAATTTACAAGTTTAGTAATGAAGAAAATACCAGAAAAACGTATATTTATTAAAAAAATAACCTTAATTCTTCTAACCTAAAAATTACGTTTATGTAACAAAATCAAGCTAATTATTGACCTAATACATGAAATAATTGTGTTTCTTTTATACTTAATAAATAAATTTTATTAGACTTAATTGGAAAAAAAAAATCTATATCGCGTGTGTACTTTGTGGAGCGTTTCGTAGTTACGACACTCCGGTATTCTCAATTTCCTGAAGAACGAAGTTATACACGCATCTTCCTATATTGATTAATTACGTGGAATAATTGGAGTAGTAAAATTGTTGCATGAATCAGTGCCCCAATTGATTGAAATAATTATTAAGACTTTTTTTTTACTGTTGTTAAATTGTAATAATTATAAATAATTACATAATTATCTTCATAACAATAGATAAGGAAATGGATTTCTATTGATAAGCTTTATTATTGAAGAACCAAATCATTAAGAATTTTTTAAAGTTTTTGTTTTTTTTCTAATATTTATGCAAAATCGTTTCAATTTACAAGCTTTATCACAAATATTTTAATTATATAATTATATTCATTCTATAGTTTCAGTTATAATCTTAACATTAAATTTTCTTTACGTATTTGACAGTTTTAGAGTAATTCGATAAAATGTAATTGGACTCTTGGTAATCGAGACTCAATTAGTTCAAATTTAGGAGCATAAATCTTATAATATCAGTAGAATTTCTAAAACGTATTTAATTTTGGTCATAANNNTGATAAGCTTTATTATTGAACAACCAAATTATAAGTATTAAGAATTTTTTACTATTGAAATTAGTAGAATTGAAGAATGCAAATAAATATATTATCATCAAGTTCAGTGATAAAATTGACTATATAAATATATTTTAGATTGAATAATCAATACGAATGTGTTCGGAAATCTATAAAGATTTTTCTTGTTATTTAGGTTAGTGGAATCTGAAGGAAAAATTTTATTTGCGGTAGATTAGATGGTGTGAAAGTGTTTTCTTCTGGATTTACGAGTTGATAAGAAAGAAGGTCTTTTTTTTAAAAAAGAATAAGGTAGAATCCAGGTGTAAACACAAGGTTTCTAGGTCTTACAAATATTGATCGTGCTTGTTAATGATAAGTAAGTATTTTCATGCAGACTCGGTTGCAAACGAGAAGGGAATATTTACTTACCTGAGACACACTTTATACATCAGTGACGTAATAAATTGTACGTGTTTATTTACGTTTGCAAGCAAATACGATGAAAATAAACACATTCTTAGTCAATTAATTCATAAAAATAAAAAAACTAAAATTGTAGTATTAAAATATTCATCAATTACAATTAATTTTATGTTTTCTTAATATTTGAAATATTAATCGAACATTAATTAATAATATTATTAACATTTTTTGGATTTTTTCAAGAAAACTTTTCTTAACTTGATTTTTTTTTGTATTTTAAAGGTTATCTCATTATCTTACGCAACTATTGATGCATCAAACGTTTTGTTAAATGTTAACTGGTTACTGATACTTTTTGATTTTTATTTTAGAATGTTTTCTTCACTTTTGTTTTATTGATTTGTAAGAAAACCATTAATTTTAGATTTGTGCATATTATTACGTAATTATCGATATACGTAAAGGTTAAATAATTGGTCTTTTTATATTAGAATATTTTCATTAGTTTTCGTTCGTTTTTTAGGGTTTTTTTTTATTACTTTTTAATAAATATATAATTAATTATCAAACTTTTAGCTATAGTATAAGAAATCTTGCATTGTAAAGCAAGTAAAAGTTGTATAATTTTGTAATGTAATTACGATTTTCCCTGTAGAAAGTAATAACGCTCAGAACTAAAATTTTAATTTTATTAACGAGTCAGGATAGAAAAAGGACGAAGAGTAGAAGGATAAAGAAAAAGTATCTTGCATTTTCGTGAAAAGAGGCTTGCTAATATGTATTCCTGCTCATTATACCTCTTAGTGATGGATTAAAAGCGTTGTCGACGATATCGTTAAACCTCTTACATCCGTGATGCGCGTCTTCAAGAGATGTTCTCTCTCTCTACACTTGAACTATATACTCTTCTCCTTGTACACAACTGCTTTTTACATCAATCCTCAAACTCTGTGGTCATCAAACAAACTTTTGCCTTAAATTTACGATCGTAAACGACTAATTTACAACGTGTTAACTTATTTTTTCAGATGTTAAAGAAAGAAAAAGTATTGTTGTAAATGCGATTACCTGAGTTGTCCCGACAGACGAGACGTCGATGCAATTCGAAAATTCCATTCACAGACGAAATCAAGTCACAAAGCACATTCTAGTTTACTTCTCTCTCTTTATTTTCCTTGCTGTTGTTGTATTGTCATTGGTCCTTGCAGCATCGAGAGTATACAATCTCGTTACACCGTTGAGACACAATGAGGGAAATATCCAGAAAGGATTTTATTTCATTGCGAAAAAAAAAAAAAAGGGAATAAAGGGAGAGAAAGAGAGAAAATTGTAGAAGATTTATTTATGGGGCATATTTTATTTGAGTTTTTCTTTTGCTTTGACGTACGAGCTTTTATTTTTCTTGCCTTCACTTGAATTCGTATAAAAGTTAACGTTATTCGTATCGTATCTCTTTGTAACTAATAGAATGAAGTAAATATCAACAATTACATTCATGTTAATTTTGCAATCTTCAGTTCGATTTCAGAGGCAATTCATTCAATACTCAAATGACTTATAATTATATCAGTTTGCTCATTTTATGGTCTGTAGTTTCAGTTTTAATTGTCATATTCATTTTTTGTTCTATCTTTTATAGTTTTCAAGTAATTTGATAAAATGTAAAGATACACAATTATTATTGTTAACTTTTTTAACACGATAACCACAAATCTTACAATTATAAAATTGTACTCATTTTATAGCTTATAATTTCAGTTTTAATCTACACATTGAATTTTCTTCTAACATTTACACTTTTCCAGTAATTGATAAAATATTAAGACAATGTTAAAGATACAAAATTATTATTTACTCCAATTTCTTAAGTTTATAACACAATAACCTCAAATTTTACAATTATAAAATTGTACTCATTTTGTTTCTTAAGTTTATAACACGATAACCACAAATGTTACAATTATAAAATTGAACTCATTTTATAGCTTATAATTTCAGTTTTAATATACATATTAAATTTTCTTTCTAACATTTACACTTTTCCAGTAATTGATAAAATATTAAGACAATGTTAAAGATACAAAATTATTATTCTTAAGTTTACAACATGATAACTACAAATCTTACAATTATAAAATTATACTCATTTTATAGCTTATAATTTCAGTTTTAATCTACACATTGCATTTTCTTTCTAACATTTACACTTTTTGAGTAATTGATAAAATATTAAGACATTGTTAAAGATTCAAAATTATTATTTACTCCAATTTCTTAAATTTTATAACACGATAACCACAAATGTTATAATTATAATATTGTACTCATTTTATAGCTTATAATTTCAGTTTTAATCTACATCACATTAAATTATCTTTATGTCTTTCACAGTTTTCGAGTAATTCGATAAAACGTAATTGGATTCTGTGTAATCGAGACTCAATTAGTTCAAATTTAGAAGCATAAATCTTATAATATTAGTATTAAATTTTGATCATAAATCGTACAATTATATAATTCCACTCATTTTAAAGGCATATAGCATCAATTTTTGTTTGTAACTTTGATAAATTTTTGTGTAATTCATAAAAATGTTGAGGTGTTGTTATGTTATGAATGAAATATCTTATGATTGCTTATGATGATTACGAATGCTTTTTTCATGAAATTCAAACGAATCTGTGAAGAATGAAAGAAAGAAAAAATCTCAATAATAATAAGCACTTGAGACTGAATGGATGTTCCATTCGACGAGTAAAATGGAATATGCCGATTCCTCCTTATTGTGTGTCTCTCCCTGGATTCTGGCACTTTTCAAGTGATTTTCTTTCATATTTATTTTTCGAGAAAAATTAAAATCTCGAGTGTCCGTCTCTATTATTGGAATATCGTTTCCATTCATCGTATCTCTACGGTTTTGCGGTCAACAGTTCTATTCTTCATCTGCCGGGAGGACTCTTGCATATCCACAGTAAATGTATATATAATATAAAGGCTGCATGGACATGCATTATGCATGCATATACAGACCATGTCTTCTCGGTAATGCCATTCATGATGCAACAGTCGGTGCGCACTTCGCAAAGCCCGTAAATCACTAACGGTTAGTTTTCTTTTTGTTTTGCATTTCTGCAGATGTATTCAAGTGTTAAACGCGTTAAACTTTTCACGAAAATTGAATATAAATCCTTCCTCCTCTTTCAGTTTATTTATGTTTATGTTTCTGTGTTTATAAGCTTTGAATCTTTACAAAATTTATAATAGAATCTTGTATGGAAATATCAATGCTTTAAGCACAAAATGTAATTAATAATTGCACAAAAAATTTATGTTTTTTTAGTAAAAACTTATAAGAAACATTCAAAGAAAGTTTCTAAAA